TATATATGTCTATAAGATTATATATAATTATATAAACCTATTGAACTAATTTATTATTAGCATTATTTTTATTAGCATTATCTTTATTAGCATTCAGTATTCAAATTCAGTATTGAAATGTCACGAAGTACCCGTTACCACATTCACGTAAGTTAAGCAACGTTAAGTATGGATATGCTTTAGAATGGTAACTATTTGTATTAGCCATTATATAGTATATTTAGAAGGATAACTATTTGTATTAACCATGATAAATTTTTTTTTTAGTTTTTTTATCATAATTTTATTATCATTCGTCACGTGTGATATTAAGCAATAAAATTTATTTTAACAATAAAACTGGATTAATTATAGCTTTCAAGTATATATATAAGTATATATAACCTTTTCGGTATATATAATTATATATATTTATATCTAATTGCATCTATATGAGCACATTGTACATATTTATGTATGATACCTTATATATGTATATATGATTATACACACATGGGCTATTTTTTCCTGGGGGAATTCATGTAAACGAAAACGTATTGACGCATTATTACCTCAAAAGGAAACGAACTCATGTGAATTACAAGATATGAAATCGGTAATACTCTTCTTATGAATTTATTTTGTAATGGCCAAAGACCCAAGTATGATAATAATATTTTATTGACATTATACTCTCGTAGAACATGCACTAGCATGATATTGCTATTTGAGTGCTACGATACGAATGACACACGCATATGTGTCATCATTTTTTTCAAGACCAAGTTTCCAGTAGTATGAAATTGTAGGTTGTCAAAAATCGTTAGCATATGATCTAGCTATCATAGTGATATATAATAACTATGTATTTTAAAAACTGAACTGCCATTCTTCCATTCCCCATTCTTATATTTCAAAAAGCACTTGAGTTTTTCTGGTTGAACATTTACATATACAAAATAATAACATTGCATTATACTTTAACAGTGACATGCAAGTATTTATGAGAATGAGAATGAACATTTGGTCTTGTTATTTTATTCATTAGTTTATTTTATTCATTAGTTGTTACCGTCACAAATACTGATATAAAATTACGGAATGACATGAGAGTGATTGATTCAGTCGACGCGTTCTGAGTTCAATTCCAACCCTTATTCTCGTCTCATGTATGTACACCTCATAATATCTTGGTTTTATAAGAGATTGATTGGAGGATTAAAGAGATTATGAATAAAGGAATATAAAGTGAATGATAATGCATTTTTTGATAACCCATATTTTAATTATACGTTTTAGCATGAAATGTGTTATAGTAAATAAGTACAGTCTCATTTACGTATAGTAACAATAAGCATAAACGTGACAAAGTATATATATATATTGAATGGACAGGTAATAATTGAGAGAGAGAGAGAGTATATTATACGGAGAGAGAATAATAAAACTATAAAAAAAAGAAGTGTTCTGAGCGATATTTTTATGTGACTAATCTCTTTCTTTTCTTTTGCAATTTTTAGCACGAGTTGCGATCGTTAATAGACGCAGGTATAGTCGGTTTTAAGTGTTTCTTATGTCCGAGCGGAGTCGATGAATTTCCACATGTCTCTGTGGATGATGTAAAGAAAACTATTTTAGAATTATTACCTACAAAGACTGTGCTGGCGGTATCTATTGCATCACGTATTGCACTTACATTCTCGTTATTATAAATCTATTCGCGACGATTAATCGCAAATGTGTTTGCAGTTTCACGCAGAATTCGAGCGAGATGAGAAAATGAATTCAAAAAGTACATACGAGTATAACACATTTAAGTTTTTGCAGAATCAATTTTTTTATATTGCATATTTTTAGATGATCCAGAGTTGTATGATACTTTCTTGCATACTCGACCTGATATCATGGAACTTGATGCCGTAAAATTAATTTGTGATTGGTGCATGAAATATAAGTAAGTCAAAGAGAAAGAGAAATTTGCTTTTGATATTTTGGTGTTGTTCTGTGTAAAAATAATGTTTAAATAAAATTCTCAAGCTTTCGATGCCACATAGTGCATTTATCAAGCGCGGAATGTTTGACATTGATAAAGGATACCAAAACTCGTGGTGCACCTTTAACCGTGGAAACGTGCTATCACTATCTGGTATTAGCCGCGGAAGAGATTCCAGCAGGTTTAACTGAATTTAAATGTTGCCCGCCGATCAGGAAAAATAGTAATCGAGTAAATAAATATTATAGATATTAAGCTTTTTTGCTTGTATTTTTTTTCTTATCTAATTTCAATTATCATGTCTGTATCTTCCATGATCAGATGTTTCAAAACAATATTATTTGAAAAAATTTGTCATTATCTATCAATATATAACATGCAAAAATATTTTAATTGAATAAATTTTTAAGCTTTCACGAGTGATTTCTATATTTAATATCAGATTTAAACTTATTTGATAAAATTATTCGTGATAAGTCAATTTTATATAAATGTTTATAGGAACAATTGTGGCATGGTGTTAAAAACGGGACGTTAGATATGATTGTTTCGGATCATTCTCCCTGTGTGCCAGAATTAAAAACTTCCGGAAATTTTTTGACTGCTTGGGGTGGAATCTCTTCGTTGCAATTCGGTATACATTTATATAAAATTTATCAGAAAGTAGAAAGCATAAAATAAAAATATTATAGGATGGAAAAAGGGAGAGAGAAAGGGAAAAATAAATAATAATGTCTTCAAAAATACAAATAGGGTTATCATTAATATGGACAGCCGCGAGAATGAGAGGCATATCATTTTTTAATGTTTCGAAGCTGTTAAGTAGTCAACCTGCAAAATTGTGCGGTCTCGAAAACCGTAAAGGTGATTTATCAGTTGGAAAGGATGCGGATTTTGTTATTTGGGATCCAGAGGAATCTATTAAGGTCAGTTCTGTTGTATATACGTTATTTTAATTTAGAAAAATACATAGCATGCACTGCGCGAGTATCATCAAAAAATTATTATATTTTCGCAGATCGAGGCAAACGACATTTATCACAAGAACAAAGTAAGTAAATACATAAGTTATACTGATTAAAATAGGAACTAAAAATCTCACCAAGTCTCCAAAAATGTTTACTTTTACAGCTGACACCGTATCAAGGAAAGATTCTATTTGGAAAAGTAATCGCAACTGTCCTTAGGGGACGATTTGTTTTTAAGGAGGGAAAGATTTGTGATAAACCTTTAGGGAAATTACTGTTAAGTGCAAATATTTTGCAAACGATAGAAACTCAGTAAACTTCATTTCGCTCACAAATCTTTATGGATTTTTTCGTTTTTACTTTTAATTAAAGTTTTAATCCATCAAGACTATGGCAAAATTAGTAAAAATTAGTAAAAGAACAACTAGAAATAGGATGGAAATATGAAAAGCATTTCTGATGCATAAAAAATACATTATAAAAATCAATTTTGCAACTAATTCGTATAAACAAATTATTAAATATTAACAGTAGAGGGAAATTAATTATGTCGATCTATAACGATTTATACAATTGGTTTTGCAATTTTTCCAAAGATAAAAATTTTTTATCATTTTTGCACCTAGCGAATCCTCATTTTTAATCTGTTTTTTGCCTGTTTCTTGCACTCGCAATGAAGGTACAATAACGAGTATATACGAGTATGCATATGAATATTTTTAAGGAAATTGCCCATTTCTAACACTCGTTTTTCCGTTGATGAATGATAAACGTATACGAGAATATAATCATGAATATTTTTTAATGAATTGTTTTCAATACTTGTTTTTCCGCTATGAGTATTTTTGAATGGATTGTTCGTTTTCAATACTCGTTTTTCAACTGAAGAGTAAGAACAACATAATATGTTCTTTTTTTACTAATATATTTATTTATCATTTATTAATTTATTGGTGAAAAAAGGGGCAGGAAAGCTGAAAATCGGCTGAAATGTGCAACTAAATCCCAATCTCTGATTTAAAATATATATTTCTTGAATTTTATATATATGTACATAACAATACACGTGCGTGCGTGTGTGTGTGTGTGTGTGTGTGTGTGTGTGTGCGCGCGCGCGCATACGCGTGTGTGCGCGCGCACACACATACATATAAAAGTGAAATTCTTCGGCCAATACAGGTAACAGCAAATCTTGTCGAATATTGGTCAATAGGACACCGATACACAGCAGGTCGCACGATGTTCTTCGAGAATGTGCAGAATGTGAGAGTGAAATGGCTCGAAAAATTTGCGTCGATCGTTACAATTTTTAACGCTAACTGTTTCTCAACATTTACTCTAATCATAAATAGTAGAACTTTTTATGACATGAAACATTAATAAAAAATTATTATAAATATATATAACATATTTTCGAAAGGATATACCGAGATACAAGTATTTAAAACGTAAACATAAAAATACTTCTACATCGCTTTTATCTGACATTTGCATATGAATGAAAATATTGATAAAAATATACGTGAAAATATCTATGATTATGAATATATTTTCTTTACGTTATTTTTGTTTTTTCCCTTTTAATTTTTTTCTTTTGTTATGTAATTTTTATAATTTTAAAGACTTTTTTTCATTCATGAAATACACGCAATATATAACGAGCATTCATACAGTTTGAAGCATACTGAATGGTAAATCTTCCTTGAGGAGGAGTGGCATTCTCACCGCTCTTTAGCCACCACACATCTGCGGTATAAAAGCAACCTACGTTGCAGCGCGCTTAGTTTCATTTCGGAGTAGCCAATTGTGAAACGTATTTTCAACGTGAGTATAATCTACGTAGTAAAGAATCTACCTTATACAAGAAAAAGTGAATTTTATTTTCGATCAAATTTGTGTATTATACGTACTTTGTTACTCAATTACAATTTGCAATCTCAATTGTCTTTTTAAACATTTTGTGCTTAAAGTGCGAAATATAATATACACATGTTTCAGAGAGAAGAAAGAAGATAAATGTAGAAAATTTTAACGTGTCGCATCTTATCATTTAATATTTACACGTTTGTTCAAATTATCAATCAGAAATATTAGTTTCACAATATATATTAGTATTACGTAATACACACTACATGCGAAAATTTCTATATTTCTAAAAATAATATTTCCATCATACATACACACACACACACACACACACACACACGCACACACACACACACACACACACACACAGTTTCGTCATTATATCGACAACTTTTTATTTTACGCAATAAAAACTTCTCCATAAATGTTGCTCCAATTTCACGACCTCGATCATTAAGGAGAGATCGGACCAATGCTCTTTGGACATATACCATTGCACACGAAACTCTCGCCAATAACTGAGCATCTCATTCCTCTGTATTTTACACAATGGCTATATTTTATTTTGATGTAACATTTAAATTGCTTC